CCAGAATTACAGGTGCACGCTACCATGCCTGCTAATTTTTTGATTTATTGTAGAGATGAGGTCTCGCCTGCCCAGGCGGGTCTCAAACCCACGGGCTCAGGCAATCCACTTTCCTCAGCCTCCCAAAGGCACGGGATTACAGGCTGAGCCACAATTTCTTATAATTTTTACCATAAGTTTCAAAGAAAGAAAACAAGATCATTTAATATTAAATACTACATTAAACAGTTAAAAAAAACCCTACAATTCAGAGCTGGGCATGGTAGGGCAGACTTTGTGTCCCAGTTACTCAGGAGGCTGAGGAGGGAGGATCACTTAAGCCCAGGAGTTCGTGTACAGCCTGGGCAACATAGCAAGACCCCATCTCTAAAACAAAACCAAAAACAAAAAAAAACTACACTTCAGAAGATATATTATGAACTTGCACGAAAATATCTTCTTCATCACTATGTATATACAGTATATTATTTCCATAAAATAGATATACAGAAATTCAAGTTAAATAATTCAGTTGACAGAAGGCTAGATAACAAAATAGATTACTATAATTAGAAGTTCTATTTTCTATTAACAGAATAGCAAAACTCAGGATTCTTTCAATTTTCCTCAATTCTTCAGGAACTATTTTTTCATAGAATAGTCTGATGTTGTGTCTCAAAGAACACAACCAAATTCTCAAAACTAACTTTAATTCACTGAAAAAAGCAGGTTTCAACAATACATGCATTACAGTTCAATTTTTAGTAAATTTTATGTGAATAAAGACAATGCATATATCTCAAAATATAAACAGCTGCAATTTTTAAATTGAAGGACTCTTGTGTCTAATTTTCTTTTGGTTTTTATAACATTTTGCTATTTGGCTTTTTTATATTTTCTATAATAACCATATTGTCATAAGGAAAAAAGTTATAAAAATATTTAAGTTCATTCTATTTCGTATCATAATTCTATACCAAATGCAGTGATCAAGCAGTATACCATGCTCCAAAATGACTGGGAATCAACTGCTTACTTGTAGTCCTTATTATTTATGTCTGAATGATATCAAGTAAATCCCAGGGGGGCTTCACTCTTAAACTCAACAGCATATTTAGTGACCGTCATCTATCCCAAAACCTTTATTCCATTAGCAAGAATATGCTTAGGGTAGGCAAACTAATTTAAACATTTCTAAGTCTACAGACAAATTAATTAGGAACATAAAGGTATTTAAATAAAAAGTGTTTAAATGCCAAATTAAACGTATTTTTCTATTTGTTCCTCTATTTTTCTGAATAACAGGACTTGAATGAAACACTGCAACTTAATGAACTGCTGTCAAAGGAGGCAGTGAGCAACTATTTTTATAACACTTCAATCTCAAAGAAATCATATCAGAACAAGAAGAAATTTTAAAATGCTAGTATTTCCTGAGTTCCTCACAATCACAGAACTCGTGTTCAGCACTCACTTTAAGCTACAATAAAAATGATTTAAATAAAATTTCAGTTGTCAGACCATTATGAATAGATAGTAATAATTCAACTATGGGAAAAATAAAAATTTTCCTTGACTCTAGATTTCTTAGTTTGTTTCTGTTTTCATGTCAGTGATTTTCTCTTTCCGGTAGCCAACAATAACATATACTTTAAATATGAATACCTAGTAGCTTCATTGATAAGGCCATCAGGTTTTTCTTCTGTTAAATGCTAAACAAAAACAAGTTTGAAAAAGTTACTGTGGTATATTAGAAGATCTAATGCCAACACAAGAATCTTACTTTAGGTCATCTTTACTGCCTTTAATAAAGACTTCAACAAGTTCCATTATTGAATATACAAATTCTGAACAAACTTTTCTATCTGAAAACATTTTTCTTCCCCATTTGTAATTTTTTCCTACAGTGAGCCTGTGGGGTTTTCTCCTGAGGGTGGGGTAGGGGGAGGAGAGGACTTAGAATTTTATACTCTTTCCTTTTTTTTTTTAAAAGGAAAATTCCTTAGATTTCAATAATGTCATAAAAACATAGAAAACTACAATTCATACTTTAGGCACTTTCCTTTTTACAAAACTGCTATCCTAAATTTTCATTATTTATTATTTTTTAAAAGGGATAATCATTGAAATTGTGCTTTTTAAAAATCTAATACACTTCCCTCCATTCCCACCCCCATACCCTAACTCCCCAGCCCAAAATCATACACAATATGAACTCAATACTAGGCCCTTCAAATCCCCTAGAAACAAATAAACAGTGGGATGGATGCAGCCCTAATTCTAGCCTAAAAGCGATTTATAATTTAAAAACTCATACCCAGTGAAGTGGGCTCTCAGTACAACTGTTTATTTTGCGAACCCCTTCAGAGTAAAGCTAGCTCCAAAAAAAATCTTGACATTGACTTAAAGGTTCATGAAGTAGTTTTAATCTCTCTGATTGCTGAGTTTTTGTGGAGATCTTTTCTTCCATAATCCTATTTATATTCCCAAGATAATCAATGCCACAAAGTTCTTCTACAGAAAATCACATTTTCACCCTCATTATCTCAACTCTCATTAGAGGGTCCCTGTCAAAATAAAAAGCTGGCTACTGGCCGAGGTGAGAGGATTGCCTGAGTCCACGGGTTTGAAACCTGCCTGGGCAACTTAGCAAGACATCATCTCGATAATAAATCAACAAAAATTATCCAGGCATGATAGTATATGCCTATAGTTCCAGCTATCTGGAAGGCTGAGGTGGAAGTATCACCTGAGCCCAGCAGGTCGAGGTTGCAATGGCCATGAGTGCACCACTGCACTCCAGTCTGGGGACATAGTGAGACTCCGACTCAAAAATAAATTGCTGGCTACTGAGGTTTAGAGGCAACTAGAGTATAATACTCTCTATATTTGAATTGAACTTCACAAATTATTAAATCCTTTTACATACATTATCTCATGAGACCTCCTTAACAATTATGGAATGTGGCTATTTTAATTTTATAAAGGAAGAAACTAAATCTAACACATTCACCATCACTGGTATCATATTTTTATATACCATCACAGGGCTATTTTTTAAATTGAAAACATACTCATAGAAGTAAAATGAACATAATTTTAAAGTATTTGTGAAAGCCCTTTATGTTATATAAGATCAGTCTTGTGTACAGTGCTACACAATGTTAATAATTGCATATCCAGGCATTTATATAAAGATTACCTAAAAAATTGCATTCAAGATTATTTTTACCAATCCATTTTCACAATTCATGAGGAGATAATCATTAAAGGTATTTGGACGGTTTGGAATCTAAGAGCAAGTTGGTTATAATTTAATTAAATTATTTATTAATACACCTGGTTACATCTACAGAGGAAACTTTTTTTTCTTCTAAAAGTTTACCGAATTCTATTTTGGGAAAAAACCAAAACTAAAGTAATGGCAATGATATACTCACTTCTACTTTGGGCACAACCTTAAAAATTCAACTGTAGACCCACTCTACAATTACTCTGCCTCTGAGAATAAAACTGTTACCAGTCCCTGGAATGGTGCCTGACCTCGACAAGTATTCATTGAATGAGCTGTAGTTAACACCTACTATTTGTTGACCTAAGTTATAAAAATGTTGTTACATTAAAAATGCTTTATAACATGCAGCAACACATTCCTTCCCACTAAGCAGTAAATCTACTTAACAATGATACATTTTTGGCAAGGCATCTGCCTCTCAATGATCCCACAATATTGAAAATTATTTTAAAACCCAGAAACATTTTTCAAGGCATTGTATTGTTCATTTTCTGGAAGGTTTATTTACATATGAATTTGGGGCTAAGTTGGTTGTGAGTTGGTGAGGCATAAAAAAATGACATGACACAAGAATTAGAGATCTGGTTTTGAATTTCCATAATTGAAAGAAACTAATAAAAGGGAGTTTCACAAAGTAACACACAAAGTTTTGAATTCATTTACTTCTCCAGGAAATTAGAAATCTTCACTCAACGGTAACTAGGGTGCTAACATGTTATTACCTCCAGGCAGTCAGAATGTATCAAATATAAAAATAAGTGAATTTATCCAAATAAAACCCTATCAATATTTACAACTCTATTAAGCATATGATATGTAAAGATAATATATAATTATAGCACAAGAGATAAATGTCCTGTTCTACGCACATATGAAAACTATATAAACATTAAAAATAATAAATGTATGATAACATCCATTTTCTCTAGATATCAGCCCAACATTTCCCTTATGTGTCTTCCTTCTTCCCCAAGTCAAATTTTGCACAAAGTTTAAAACCAATGTCTGCTATGAACATTCTCCAATAACACCATTTAGTCATTAAGTTTAAAACCAATGTCTCTTAAAGAACATTCTCCAATAATACTACTTAGTCATCAAGCAGGTACTTTTACTTATAAAACAAAACAAAATGGAAATTTTGGCATTCTATTCCACCTGTATAGGCAAATAAAAAAAATTTTTTGCAAAACATTTTTTTAAAATATTTTATATTACATATATCTCCAAAGAATTCCTCATCTCTGCTTAGAACTGTGGCTTCCACTTACATATCAAAAAAGACAAAAATAATTTTGGTACTAATTGTTCAAAAGGCTACGGTTCAAACCTCCAACTTAATTTACCACAAGAAACAAAGAAAAAAAAAAAAAGGAGGGGAGTGTGAGATGCTGGTCAAAGGTACAAAATTTCAGTTATATGCAATGAATAAGTTATGGGAGCTAACTACAGTAAACACAACTGTATTATATACCTGAAATATGCTAAGAGCATGTATTTTAAATGTTCTCACTACACCTCCCAAAAAAGGATAATTACGTGAGGTGATGGATATGTTAATTAGCTTATTTTATATCATACTAGACAATGTATACATATATCTAAACACATTGTATACCTTAAATATATACAATTGGTATTTGTTCGTTATATATCAATGAAGCTAGATCATGGTAAGAAAGGGCAACAAAGGAACCATTTGAAATAACACCACTGTAAACTCAACTCCATGAAGGGCTATAGGATGATCTTTCTACAGAAATAAAGAAACAAGCTGGACACAAAAAAAAGAAAGCAAGAAAGAAAAGAAAAAAACTATCTTAAAACTCACTGGCTAAGAAAGAACACTTTTGTTGACCAAAGTGGAAATAAATCTAGTGTCAAAAATGTCTGGTGTCATTTTAAAAAAGCAGCAGCAGCAACTATTTCTTTCAAATGGATTGGTTATAGAGATATAACATTATTTTAGTTTTCTTAAAGAAATAATTCCATAATGTCAATCTGTTTATTTTTCATGCCTTTTCCAAGCCAAACTATATTCTGACTGAATTGTTTCAGCAGCTTGTGCAATATAAAAGAAGAATCAAAAAGAAACCTCCTACTTGACCTTTTCTGGGTAACTTCATTCATTGATTCTATTGCATTAAATGCTGTCACATTTGTAGAACTGAAAAGAACAATGTCAGTAGCCTGGGTGTCAAGTCCTGAGAATAGAGAGCTGTCATTTTAAGTTGTCCAATTCTTTGCCCATGATTAAAAAATGAATATTTCAGATCAATGGGTGACAATCCCATTAGAGTGATAGCCCATGATATCAATTACCACTTCAGTTTCAATTTGGCTGGCTGGCCACAGGGTCCCATTTCTCAGCTTTACTTGTGATGGGCTGGCTCTGTGAAGCATGACACCCTTAAATTGCTGCCCATTATCCAAGTGTCATTACTTGTACTGCCTCAGAATTCTCTGAATCACAAGCAGCTACTGAGGTCAAGCTTTGCAACCAGAGGAATTGGACAAGTTAGCAAATTCTTTATATCAAAGCAAAGTTATTTATCTGGCATCCGACTTAGAAAATCTAAAGTTTCCATTATCCTGACAGTATGTCAGTTTTGTGTAGGTATATTGATTTAATAATTTAAGAGGTTTTATCAAGGTGGCAGGAGGTTAAACGTTTACTGTGTTTGCATTATTCAGAATGTTGCTTTGTTTTTATGGCCTCTATCATGCTGATAATAGATTCTTTTTAACTCTTCTCCATACTCAACTATACATATTAAATTATTCCTATAATCATAAAATACATAAAGAGTTTGACTTTGAAAATGGTACTTTAAGTCTATCAACAAAAACAAAATGTCTTAACAGTTATCTATCCCATAGGTATCTAAAATTTGGTAATAAATTCATAGAGGACACGGATTCAAAAATGCCTATAATAAACATTTAAAATTAATATTTTGGGTGTTTTTTCTCCTACTTCCATAAATATCTTGCTAGAAATATGACGATTTCCAACTGTTGCTGGTATTTTTCTGAGTAAAAGTATAATACTGTATGAGATCTTTGATTTTTAAGACTGTTCATAAATTTAGATCTTAAACTCTTAATGTAACTAATTTCCAAACTTTTCAAATTAGGGCACTCTATTCCCAAGAGAAGTGAATGTTCAGTGAAGGGGTATTGGCAAATATTTGACAAGCCTGGCATATTTCCCTAGAACACAACTTCATTGAAGATTTATAAGTAAAACAAACTTTAAAAATTAACAAGTTCAGATATATTATGGGAGAGGACACAAAACTGACACAATTTTTTTAAAACACTGAATTTAAACCTCTAAGAAATTATTACTTTGGGCCCTATCCACATCTCCAGATTTGGACAGTGTGGGAGGGTGGGGATAACTTCATTCTCTGCTGCCTTTAGTGATATTTCACCTGTGAAGTCAAGAAACACTATTTTTCTTTATGCAACATGCTTTTAAAGATCTTACTAAATGCATTTTGTAAACTGAGTTCCACTTAAATGTATTTAAGGACCTCAGTCATTAACAAAAACACTCACAGCAGGATGCCTTTTAATGTAAAGTATCTTCTCACTAATCCTTAAATAAATCCTGATTTCTTCAAAATAAGACAATATTTCTTAAAAATTTATGTCCGGTGTGTGTTTAACAATAGAAATAAGATCTCATATGCTTTTTCAAGCTCAATTTCCAAAAAAAGTTATCAATACTGGGGTTGAATCCCAGTAAGGACTTATACATAGCCACCATTATCCTGAACCCATATACTTAGTAAAAAAATTATAATCCCAAATTTTACCACATCAGATCAGAGTAACCAAAAAGAAATATTTAATTTAACATAATAATCAAAACATAAAAATTCCATCTATTGTTAAGGATACTTATTTGAAAAAAGTTTCTGTTAAGGAAAATTTTAAACAGAAACAAACATAGATAACACAATCAACCCCTATATACTTGGCTCTCAGCAATTAACCACTCAAAGCAATTTTTCAACTTACTTTTAATCCATATTTTGAATCCACAACAGTTATTATACCTACAAAGAAATAAACATTTTAATCACTTTTTTAAAAGGATATTCATTAATATTGTGCAACCATATGTGAGAATGAAAATGAAAACTAATCTACTATTTCAGTTCACAAATGCTACTCGATAAAACAAAGTACTGTTTTTTCCTCTTACTGCAATCAAATTCAATTATAGTAATAAGTCACTGCATTTCAAGCATGTACTGAATACTTAGTACTGTCTTAAGGCATTAGAGAAGATACAAAATAAATAAATTTTAAAAATTAAACAAATAAAAAATAAGATTTCTCTGGCACTTAAAAAGTTTACAAGCCAAAATATAAGACAAATTTCATAATAAAGACAAATGTGATAAAGTACACAACATAGGTGATTTCTATTTTATGATCACATAATCAAATTAAGACTTTTCTTAATATTTAAATTACTGCTTAATGACTTAGGATATCTTATTCCTAACAACGCTCACAAAACCTAACTCACAAAAATGCTTTACATAACATATACTGAAGATTCTAATCAATCCGTTTAACAATCTCCAATTATATGTTAAATAATTTTTTCAAAGGATAGAGCAGAATGAGTTTAATGATGCCTATGGAATTCAACCAGCTACATGCCACATATAGTGTATTAGAGCCCAATGATGGGGCCCAGATTAATAATTCTTAAATTTCTTAATGGTTTTCAAAATTCTTACATTTTACGGATTGGCCTATCTATGAAAGACTGGTTTTTAAAAAAAGGTGCAAGAGGGAAAGAGGGAGGGAGGAAACATAACTGCTTAACTAAGAAAGTTTCTAATATGTCTTAAATGAAGACATACATTTTATATATAAGTTTATAAGTAAGACTGCCCTTAAGATAAATAAAATCAGCGAAGGGTGCTTTCACAGGAAAATGAAAACGGAAATGCGATCTTCACAATGCCAGACAGATTAAAATAAAAGGCTCTAACATTATACTAAGTGCCTAATTCAAACACAAGAGGATATAGGAAATCTACATAAAATTTTTAAATGAAAAGTTTAGTGGAAGCACTAAATTGGGAGGTGAGAGATATCCCGTTCTACTACTGCCTATGGCTTTTGAATCTATATGAACAAAGACTTATATCATCACTAATCTAAACAAGTTTGAAAAGAACAATGCAAGGAATTAAAGTTATAATATGAATGAGCAAAAATGAGCTTAACCATAAAAATACAATTTTTTCTTAAAAACACAAGAAAGTTGTTTAACTTACCATCAAGATAAATATCACTGCCTAATTCAGCATCAACCCAAAACATGGAAGCCACAGCACCTGAAAATATATAATGTTCATCAAATAAAACTATATATTCAAAATGAGAAGCAAAATTCTATCCATGTTTAATTTGCCTCAATGAAATTAGCAGGCAGACACATAAACAAATCAAATCTGGCTTCCAATCTTCTTACGGGAATTATAGTGCTAGAATTTTTCACTATTACACCCATTTCTATCCCTTTCATTACTCCCCCCCAAAAAAACTAACTCTTAACCCATACAAACAAAATGCTATTCTTCTACTGATGCCATAATAATTTACCAAAAGATATTATCAAACAATTTGAGCAAGCATGGCTGTGTGCACAAACTTATTTTTCTTTTCTAATCTCCTGAATATAAAAATCATTCAAGACACAAAGAATGAATTATTCCTCTAGAGGAAAAGAAAAGCAAAACAGATAATTCCAAAATCACTTGTCCAAAATAAAAATCTGCTTGTAAATTGTATAGAAGGAATAGAAAGTAAAATTCTACACTCTATAACGTTACTATTAATCTTCACACTGTTTATTTAGTACTGGTACAAAACCTGGGTCTGCAGAAAAATTATTTCTAAATAAGAAATTAAAACTTGTTTTTGACAGAAACCGGTTCAGTACCAAACCACATACCCTGATTATTATGCCACAATGCAAGAAAAAGAAAACTGACAGCAAGGTATTTGATTTTTCAAAACATCACAGGCCCAGTTAGTGACAGGGCTGTCTAAAAGAATGAGCGTAGGGAAGAAACAAGGATAACTGAACTCATCCCAATGTCCAAAGCTGTCCACCTCTCTGATGAGATGTGGGCCCCCAAGCATCACTCTGTGTCAACAGTGAAATACCTGTCAGCTGTTTACAATGATTACTCATGCAAGATATAGCAAGGGCCACAAGATCTAATGGTTTCCTGATATCTATTGATTTTTTTCCCAAAAACTTAATAGTTTTCCAATTTGACTGAAATAGGATTTGTGAGTAACAGGGGCTGAATCAATGTCCATCCTTTTCAAGGAAATTACCTTACCATGACAATTATTTAGCTTAGAACTAGAGAGTGGAGAGTGTCAGTCTCCAAAGCGGGAAACAACTGAATTGTCAATAAGAATTTTGTTCACTTTGTTGGCTAAAAACATAATTTTAATTAATGAGGGGAAAAAAATTAGTCTACTGTGATTATAATTACTCCAAACAATAAGTCATTTTTAAAAGCATTAATTTTTTCACTCTGTAAAATACTTAAGAATCCTATCTAAATAATTTAATGCTTTTCAAAATTTGATTTCTATTCAAATAACTTGTAAGACCTGCTGTTAATATTTGCCTCTTAAATTGAACTGTAAGAGTGCACTAAAGCTTTTATTCTAAATCAGTATCTTTGATACTTTAATACTCGTCAGACTACACAAGAAAGAACTATTTAAAATCTGAATGTAAGTGTTTAGTAGGAGGAGTAAAGATGAGTGAATGAAGTTTATTCAGTGGCTTTCAAGCCAGAGTTCTTTTTCTTCCCAGCAAATATTAGGCAATGTCCAAAGATATTTTTGGTTGTCTCAATGAGGGAAATGCTATTGGCATCTAGTGGATTGAAGCCAGGGATGCTGTTAAACATTCTACAATGCACGGGACAACTCTCTCACAACAAATAATTATCTACTCCAAAATACCATTTGTGCTAAGGTTGAGGAAACTTGATAGAATATCCCTTCTTCAAAACCTAACAAAACAAAAAATGAAAGTAAAAAATAATTAAAATTAAAACAAAAGCCAAAATCTTATTAGCAGCAACCAAATATAAAAGGGTACACAACCTCCTACCACAAATTCTGAAGAGTAAGTCAAAATAAGAAACAAAATTCTATGTGACTTATGGTTCCTCCTAACTCTACCCTTACTCTCAGTAAGAGATTGTAAGGAAAACTTACAAAATCCTAATAATTATCAGAAATACCTCCCAAAATGGCAAGCAGAACTGAGGGTGGAATAAGCAATACAGAGAAAGGTCAACAAAAAACTTTAAAAGTTTCATCCATGTCCATGTTTGAAGGGAGATGGTCAGGTCATTATCTAGGATTCAGAGCAAAGTGAAATGAGAGGTCTAAGGCCCAATGATGTCCCCACATGAGGGATAGGATGCATATTCATAAGTAGTGGGAGCACACCCAAGAGGAGAATACTTGGTATTTCAAGAGAGCAGTGCCTAAAAGTCTCATAGCTCCACCTAGCTCTCTCAATCACCGCTTTTTCCTTCTCACTCCCAAATACCCCAAAATACCTAGCTTTCAAACTGGGGCTCAAGAGAAAAACAAGTTTGGGTAAGATGAGTAGGATAAATAATTCTTCATCAACACAACATACAAGCAAATAGTTCTCTGAGCCGCCCACATCAAGAACAAGCATGTGCATATATGTGTCACAGCAGAAAAACAAACAAGAATAAAAGGCAGGAAGGAAAAAAATCAAAGAGGTGACTAGGACATACAAATGGCAAATAATCCATTCTGAAAGGAAACATACTCCAGGAAATTGAAGAATACAACCATAATAAAAACAAGATCAAAAGCAAGAAGCAGCAGCAGATGAAACAGCAGTTTGTAGTGCTAAAGAAATACACTTAGGCCCTACATAACATCATTACATAACACACTAATTTATTTAAAACATCAAAAACATCCCAGCACTCTGGGAGGCCAAAGTGAGAGGACTGCTTGAGTCCACAGGTTCGAGATCAGCCTGGGCAATTTGGCGAGACCGCATCTCTACAATTAAAAAAAAAATGGCTGGGTGTGGTGGCACACGCCTGTAGTCCCAGCTACTTGGAAGGTGGAGGGATCACCTGAGCCCAGCAGGTTGAAGCTGCGGTGGTCATGAACGTGCCACTGCACTCTAGCCTGGACGACAGAGTGAGACTCCCACTCAAAAATAAATAAATAAACAAAATAAAATATCAAAAACAGAACAAACATTGGTGAAAACAGAATTATTGACAAAAAGGAAGACTAGATGACCACAGTAAATATAGAGGTCAAAGACAAATCAAAACAACTAGAATAGATATGCAGAACAGACAAAAAGTCAATCTAAGGAAAACTGATGTCATGAAGTAGAAGACTCAGTAACTTGACAGAAAAACTGTTCATGGTCATAAACAAGCAAAATGTCCCTAAGTGAAGAACTAAGGGTATATTGTAATTCAGGAAAAAATGATTATGAATGGCACTTAGATATATCTTGTTTATATTACTGAATTTCAAAAAAAAAAGAAAAAATGTTTCAGGAATTTTGGACGAAAATGCAAGTCACCTTCAAGGGGAGGAGGAAAATCACACTTTTCTACAGTAACACTGGATGTCCCAATATAATAAAACAGTGATCACAAAGTGCTAATGAAAGTGTTCCCAAAGAATATTACCCCTGCCAGGTTATTGTTCAGAAATAAAAGCAATAGGCAGACATTTTCAAACATTAAAGGAAACAACAAGCATGGAAACTCAGAGACTATAGTACTCACAAATTCTTTCTGATAAGAGAAAACACTGGACAAGGAAATCTTGCCAATCAAAACATACTAGAAGATTATGGAGCACCATTTGCAAAGTTCTAAGGGGAAAAAAGTGTTACTGAGAAATTTTATACTTAGCCATGTAATCCCTCAAGTATAAAACAAAACACAAATATTCTCAAGCAATGAAGTATGCAAGAACTCAGAGAATGTAGCACCTATAACTTGAAAAGTTTGCCTGATCATGATTCAGATCTATCTCCTGATTCAGCCAATCAGGAGACAAATTAACTCAGGAATGAAGAAGCCACAGTACTGGTAAAGTGATCTAAAACCACAAAAATATAGAACGAAAGGAATTATAACAAAATGTAAATGTTAGAAACCTTGACCGCATAACAAAGAACACAATCAACCAAGACCAGGAGAGGGGAGAAAGTGTAGTAGTACTAATTCTCTCATCTTTTATGCCAGGGAGTCCGTAGATAATCCTATAAAAAATCGAAACATGTAGTTTACAACATGCCCACTTTGTTTATGTTCTTTGGGATCTATTTTTCTTAATTCCTATCTCTTGCAATGTAGAAGCAAAGATCTGATATGCAGAATTTCTTCACTTACCTTTCAGTTTATCTTTCTTTTAGATTCAAGTAAAACTAATTATTTAAAATAGGACAAAAAAAATAATCCCATTAAAAAATTATTTCTGAATATGTAGACAGCTTTCAGAAGTGCATACAGAAGGGTTTCCCAAACTTATACAAGTACAGGCATACTTCGCTTTATTGTGTTTTACCTTATTGCACTTTGCAGATACTGTTTTTATAAATTGAAGATTTGTGGTAATCCTGAGTTGAGCAAGTCTACTGAAGCCATTTTTCCAAAAGCATGTACTTACTTCACGTCTCTGTGTTATATCTTGGTAATTTTCACAACAGTTATAACTTTTTCACTATTATGTCTGTTATGGTAACCTGGGATAAGTGACCTTTGATGTTACTACTATAAGTGTTTTGGAATGCCACAAACCATGCTGAAATAAGATGGCAAACATAATCGATAAATGTATGTATTCTCATTGCTCCACCAACCAGTCATTTCTTTCTCTCTCCCTCTTTCCCCCTCTTCAGGGCTCCATATTCCCTGAGATATAACAGTATGAAACTAGGCCAGTTAAAATCCTACAATGGCTTCTAAGTGTTCAAGTAAAAGGGAGATATGGAAGAGTCACCAGTCATTCGCATTAAATCAAATGCTAGAAATGACTACGTTTAATGAAGAAGGCATGTCAAAAGCCAGGAGAGACCAAAAGCTAGACCACTTGCACCAAACAGTCAGGTTATGAATTCAAAGGAAAAGTTCTTGAAGGAAATTAAAAGTTTACTCTAGTGAACACAAATGATAAGAAAGCAAAACCAGGATCAGTCAGCCTTTTACCCGATATGAAGAAAATTTTAGTGGTCTGGATAGATGGTCAAACCAGTCACAACATTCCCTTAAGCCAAAGC